TTGATACCAGGGATTGAACTCGGGTCCTTGTGTTTGCGAGGCAGGCGCTGGAACTACTGAGCTAAATACCCAGCCCATGACCAGAATTTTTAATGACAGCCTATCGTTGTTATGAGTTGAACTGTGTCTCGCTCTAAAACTCTCTATGTTGGCTGGGTGTCTATACTTCCCTCAGTAATGGAGTAGATGGCTAGAATGCAGGAAGTCCTGGGTTCTATCCCAAAACTGCAAAAACAAAACAAAACAGAAAGAAAACCATATATAAAATTTCTGACTCCTCGTGCCTCAGAATGTGATGATATTTGGAAGATAGAATGTCTTAACTACTTTTCTCGTGTTGCTGAGACAAAATACCTGACACCCAAAGTAAAAGGGGAAAAGGTTTACTTAGCTCACATTTTGTAGAGGTTTCAGTTGCAGAGGTTTTTGCTGGCTCCAAGGCAGGTTGGCACATGGCAGAAGAGCAACAGTTCATGGTGGCAGAAGACAGCAAAAGCAAACCAGCAAAGGACCTTAAAAGGGTCTTTTTGCCCCTTTTATCCCATTCAGACTACCAGGATTAGGTCAGTGCCCAACCAATCTCTCACGTGTAGGGGTTTAGTAATCACACACCCTTAATCCCAGCGTCACGTACTCTACATTCGGCCACCTCTGAAAAAGAAGTCTCACCTCATCTGCAAGAGGCTCTTGGGGGACACTGAGACATAAGCCACAACACAGGGTCTTTTAAGAGGTAACTGAGTTAAAATGAGGAAATTAGCATGGGTTATAATGCAACAACTGATGACCTTGGAAGAGGAAAAGAGGAAATTTTGTCACAAGTGCACACAGGGAAAACCATGTGAAGACACAGGGAGAAGGCAGCTACCTGTAAGTCTAGGAAACAGATCTCAGAAGAAACCAAGGCTGGTACCTTGATCTTAGTCTCTAGAGTTGAGCAATAAACTTCTGCTGGTTAAACCACCTAATCTGTGATATTGTGCTGCATGGCCATAGCAAATAGAAAATCGTTAAGAGAGACTCTGCACTGCACGTAACACCTTTTAAAACATCTCTCATAGGCTTTCAACAGTGTGCTATCCACATGCTGCCTGCCAGGTTGCTCCTCACACTGTGCCAGGAGGCACAGGAGCCTGTGTCAGGCTGTGGTAGCTGTGCAGTGGCGGATCACCTCTGTGGCTGCCCTCAGAGCACTGAGAGAGTGCTGGGCAGAAGACATACTTGGGTCTCATGGTTATGTACTGCCAGACCCCGCCGATCTCAGGTCACCTAAAAACCAAGAAGGGCAAGCAGCCGGGGATTCTGGCTGTCCCACAGGAGAGAGGGTCAAGACTGAGGCACGGGCAGGGTGGTGCACCAGTAATCCTAGTACATGCCTGAGGCCAATCTATGCTACATACCCAGTTCAAAGCCAATCTAAACTGCATAGCAAGACCCCATCTCAAAAAATAAACAAACAACATTGTGAGATACTGGTAGCACAGTAGTGTATCCTGTCACCCAAGGACGAAAACTCTGAATGACAGCTTTGCACGCATGTGACCTCTACAGAAATGGTTTCTTCTGCAACTTGTATTTTATACTCCGTACTTTTCTTTTCTGTGATGCTGGGAAATGAACCTGTGAGAGAGTTCTGGAAAGGAGAAGTTACAGGAAGAGAACAAAGGTAAGCAGCAGTTGTAGTGAATCAAGAGCACACGTGGACAGGTGTGTGGCTCAGTGGTAGAGTATGTGCTTAGCATGTGTAATGCCCTGGATTCAAATCCCAGCCCGTGTTTTAGGAACAAAAGGACCTGAGTTCATCCTGTCTCTGCTCCCACTGTGTAACCTTCAGCAAAGCACTTTATATCTCTAAGCTTTATTTTCCCCATCTGTAAAACAGAGGTAACAGTACCTGCCCACAGGCTAAGATAAGTGCTAATAGCTAACTTCAGTGAGGGCTTATCATGTGCCAGACAACATGTAAGTACTTTACATATATTATCCCAGTTACTCCTCACAGCAACTCTGTGAGATCGTCACTATTATAATGTCCATTTTGACAAGCTATGTAAATTGCTTAAAGTCACAAAATAGACAAATGTCTTGGGAGTGGATTTAAATCCAGGTATTCTAAACTCAACTACTGGAGCTTTGTGAGATCACAGTAAAGGACAGTAACACAGTTGACACACAGAAAATACCCAATAATTCACTGCTATTATGACTAAAAGGAGCAATATCTCAGAAACTACTGTATAGCACAAAAACAGACATGATGATCAGATAGTGGTGCTGAGAAACTTGTTATTTATGCAGAACATATGCAGAAGAATGGATCTGGACCTGTATCTCTCATTCTGTACTAAAATAAGGTCAAAATGGATCAACAACCTATTAAAGCAGAAACATTTTAAGGGCTTGGGATGTAGCTCAATGGTGCCAGGCCTGCCTGGCAAGTGTAGGGTTCTAAATTCGATCTCTAGTACCAAAAAAAAAAAAAAGAGAAAAGAAAGAAAATAAAAATACTTTAACTGCTGGAAAATAGGTAAAACTCTTGACACAAGGATAGGCAAGAACTTTTTTTTTTTTGAGATATGGTCTCGCTCTGTAATGCGGACCGGCCTTGAACTTGTGGCAATCCTACTGTGTCAGCCTCCAGAATGAATGCTGGGATCACAGGCATGGGCCACCACACCTGGCAAAGACCTTCTGACCAGAACCTCAACGGCACAAGAAGTAACACCAAGAATCAACACATAGGATTATATAAATTCAAAAGTTTCAGCAAAGGAAAGACTAAGAGTGAAAAGATAACCTACAAAATGGGAAATATTTTTGCCAGAGAAAACTAATATCTATAATATATAAAGAACTAAAAAAATTAGATCCCTCCAAATAAAAGACCCAATCAAAAAACGGGCAATTGAAAGGAAGAGACACTTCTCAAAAGAAGTACAAATGGCACTATGTACATGAAAAACTGTTCAGCAGGGCATTTCTAAAGGGCTAAAGGTGTGGGGAAAGTGGGAAGGGGAGGGGAGGGGAAATAAGGGAAAAGAAAAACTATGAGAAAATGAAAATAAAGTCTTTGTAAATAGGGAAGGGTGGAAGGGGTGAAGGGAGGGCAATGGTATGGGGAAAAAATGAGAACCAACACCTGTCATGTAAAGGTACAAGATCCCAGTGATAAATGTAACTGTACTGTATACCAAAAATGTACCAATAAACTCAATGAGAAAAAAAAAGAGAAAAGAAAAGAAAAGAAAAGAAAAAAGAAAAGAAAAGAGAGTCAGGGTCAGGAATTTAGCTCAGTGGTTCTAGCGCCTGGGTGCAAGGATGAGTTTGATTCCCAGTACCAAAAAAAAAAAAAAAAAGAAAGAAAGAAAGAAATGCGAATCAAAACAGAGATTCCATCTTACTTCAGAAAGAATGGTCATCATCAAAAACTCAAAAACAAAAAATGCTGGTGAGATTGTGGTGGGGAGGAACCCTTCTACATTGCTGGTGGGAATATAAACTAATGCAACTGGTAGGAAAGTCAGTATGGAGATTCCTCAAAAAATGATAAATAGGAATTTCACTGACCCAGAAATTCCATTCTCTCTTCTAGGTATCTTTCCTAAAGAGTTGAAGACATCACATTACAGTGATACATGCACACCCAGGCTTATAGCAGTGTGATTCACAACAGCTAAATCTTGGAAGCAGCCTGTATGTCCACCAATGGACATGGGTAAAGACCATGTGGTTCTAATACACAATGGAGTACCACTTGGTCTGAGAGGATAAACCTGAGCCATTTATAGGAAAATGGATGCATCAATGTATCATTGATGATACCACAATGATAAGTGAAATACATCAGACAGAAGATTAAATATTACATGGTTTCTCTTACATAAGAAACCCCAAATATAATTTAAAGAGCAAAATAAAAGACAGATAATAGGGAACAGAGAGACAGACTACGTGGAGACAAGAAGGGGATCTGGAAATGGCAGGGACAGGAGGAAGGGGAAATAAAAAGGGACAATGTGTGATATGGATATATAGCAATTCCCTATGATTAATGTATTTATTATGTACCACAAACATATATTAACAAAAAAGGCAGAAAGAAAAGTTTTTTTTTTTTGGTTGGGCGTGGTGGCGCATGCCTGTAATCCCAGCACTTGGAAGGCTGAGGCAGGAGGATCGCTGTGAGTTCGAGACCAGCCTGGGCTACATAGTGTGTTCCAGGTCAGTCTCAACCACACAGTGAGACCCTGTCTCAAAACAAACAAACAAACAAACAAACAAACAAAAAATTTTTGTTTGGTAAATAGTGGAAATATACAGAAAATCAAAAAGGAAGAATATGACCAGATTTTCCTTAAGGAAGATATTTCAGCATTTTCTTGCTAACTCGGGCATTTTTCAAGGGGTAATTCAAGGGACTAAGGCACAGAACTCCCAGGTAGTTTGTGTTATACCTTTAGAGTCCCTGTAATTACCAGGTAGATACTTGCTTCTTGAAATATTCTACTTAAAGGTGTTCAAAGCTGTCTCTTCCTGATTCAACATCTGCCAGTGTGAGGTTTCTAAAAGAATGTCTTCCCCACTTCGGGTTTTTGTGCGGACATTATGATGCAATCCCTCTACTCTCGAAACAACCCTTGAATTCCATTCCCCTCATTTTCTGAGCCGCAACGCTTACACAGGAGGGCTGAATGACAAGCACAGAGCAGATGGATTCTACGCGGCCCGCTCACCTGTTCCAGCCTCTCAATGAGCTCTGCGGGCGTCAGCACCACCTCCTCACTCCCAGCGTCGGAGTCCTGTCCCGCGAGGTCCAGCTCCTCCGTCATCGTCTCTGAAACCTGGAATCGAATGAACACAGAAGAACCAAGACCCTGCTGGGTGTGTGCCATTAATCTGCAAGAACAGTCCGCTAGGTATTTGGAAAAGTTTACCGGGCCGCAGGGCCCAGGGCAGCGGCCAGGGAACTCACAGGCTGATTTTTCAGGCTTCTGCCTCACCCCTGGGCCGAGGTCAGATTTCAGTTTCTCGGCGGCCTCCTGCGGCGAGGGCACCGCGTCCGTCCTGCCGGGGCGCCCACCACACTGGATAAGCTTACTCCTCGGCCGTCGCTCACCTCGGCGGCTAACTCCTCTCGCTACAGCGCGGCCCG